TCCCATTTTTTAGTAGTTGTGTTATTATTTTAATTACACAATTTAAATGTCTTAAGACACATTCTCATTATAATGCCCTGATGTTTTAGGTGACTTTTCCAGTTGAAATGAAAAAAAAATTAAATAGAGTGAAATTAATCAAATTATAGAATAAGTCACTGTTGGTGAAGAAAATGCTCAATAACCAAGATCTTCAGAATTTAATAATAATAATAATAATTCAGCTCATTTGTGGGGAAGCCAGGTCTAAATCAAAGAGAGATAGGGGTTATAAAATATTTTTTAAGAAGGGCTTCTTTAATAATTTTGAGGACAGATAAGAATAAGCCAAGTTAATTGTGTTTTAGCAAATCTTTTAAGGGCTTTCATTTAGCAGATAGCTGAGAATTATTTATCGTTACCCTGTCCATTGTTGAATTAAAATTAATACCAAAGTGGTGCTTGAGAGTGGTCTTTTTCCATTTTCCATTTAAATAGGCTAGACATTTGCTTTGTTTATACCATTAATTTGTTTCCACATAGCCTGCAAAGGTAACCTCCTCAGAATTAATTAGTGGAATCAAAATTAATGAGGTTTTACTGTACTAGGCCATTTCCACTGTAGGCCAGTTTTCTTCACATGAGTTGGACTAGCATTTTCTTGAAAGAAGAAAAATTAGATTTATTTTAATCCATATTTAAAAAGCAAAGAACCATCTTTTCTGGTGAGTTAAGTACCTCTAATAACTATGCTTTCTTGGGCTTAGTAATATTGATTTTTTTGTTTTGTTTTTAGTCTTGATTATTTTGGATATTTCCAGACTGTTGCTTATTACAGTAAAGCCAGAATTAACTCTTCAGCTGCTAATTTTCCTTTATAGGAACAATGTGTCATTTTTATTTTGGATAATTTTTTATGTGTGGTTGGGGGTGTGTTACTTGCCAATTTTCATCATTTTTGTACTATATGAATGAACAGATCTATTCTTTAAAACATATATATATATTTAAAATATATTTTATTGATATTTTACAGAAAGGAAAGGAAAGGGATAGAGAGTTAGAAACATCGATGAGAGAGAATCATCGATCATTTGCCTCCTGCACATCTCCTACTGGGGATGTGCCCACAACCCAGATACATGCCCCTCTCCGGAATTGAACCTGGGACCTTTCAGTCCGCAGGCCGATGCTCTATCCACTGAGCCAAACCAGTTTCAGCTAAAACATATTGAGTAAATGTATGTGTTAGAGAGAATCCATTAGGAGGAAACAAAAAGTTAGAATTTTTGGAATTGTAGTTCTTTTTTCCCTTCAGAAAATTACATCCTATAATCTTTTTACTTAAAGCAGGTCCAGTGGTATTATTTAATATTTGTTTTATATATCCTTTATTTTTACTAATAAAAGTGATAACATGAACTAGAGCTTTTAAATCTTTTTATGAGGATGGATTGCATTTTCTTGAAGTTTTGAAATTGTCCACCTGCAATTAAATGGGGAGGGTGAGAGTTCTGACAGTGAATTTCTCATGAGGGGTTGATGCTGAAGGTCAAGTTTCTCAAAGGAAGGGAAGGCCTTTTGTCTGTTTGCCTAATGTCTGCAATTATAAACTACAGTAAGAGTTATTAGGCAGAGAGAAAGAGCATGTGTAGTTAAGTGGTTGTCAGTTTTCTGTGATCTCAAATGTTGCGATCTACTAACAGACCATAATTTGAGGAACACCAAATACAATAAAGAATATTAGTAAAACTTCATCTGTTTATTTTAAAGATAAAATAAATGTCACCCTGACGCATGCCTCGTTTTTTTTTCTACTCTTTGAAAAAAATGACAAGATGTTTGTGAATATTATTGAAATGACAGTGAACTTGCAAATAGGCTAGTTTATGAGTATGCTTTAATTAAAAATAAGCTCATTCTAAAGATGATTTTGGAGTTTGTGAGTCGAAGTAGCAGAGTCAAAAGTTGTGACAGGTGTTTTGCATACTGTGGCAGATCTGTGCTTGATTAAAAGACATGAAAAGATGAAAAGTATGCTGTTTAGGAATTATTATTTAAAAATTAAAAAATATATATATTTTATTGATTTTTTTACAGAGAGGAAGGGAGAGGGATAGAGAGTTAGAAACATCGATGAGAGAGAATCATCGATCAGTTGCCTCCTGCACACCCCCTACTGGGGATGTGCTTGCAACCACGTTACATGCCCTTGACTGGAATCGAACCTGGGACATTCCGCAGGCTGACGCTCTATCCTCTGAGCCAATCCAGTTTTGGCTATTATTTAAAATTTTTTAAAATTTTCCGATTATAATTGACACACATTATTATATTAGTTGCCGGTGTACAACATAGTGATTAGACATTTATATAACTTTTGCAGTGATTGCCCCGGTAAGTCTACAACCCATCTGACACCATACGTAGTTTTAATATTACTGACTGTAGGAATTAAAAAAAAAATCCATTAGATATATTTCTCTCTAATGAAAGAAATACATAAATAACCACTTTTTGGCCAATTGATATTGCAAAATAGGAAATAGAAGTTTACCATTTATGTAGCAAACATCTCTTTTTGTAAGTTGGATATATTTGATAAATACAAAGTCAGCACTAATGGTAATCTCTAGAAGTGTAAAGCCTCCATTGTATTACCTTCAGTTACCAATAAATGTCTAGTGAAACTCACAAATATTTTATGTAGTGTGAAATAGCTAAAAATAAAGCTCTATGTGTTTGTTTTTTACTGTTTTATTTTAATATTGCCTATATTTAAATTTACTGCTTAGTTATAAAGCTAATTTTTATGAGCCATAAAACTATCCCTCCATTCCTCAATATGTTTTTTTAAAGAAAGAAATCATATTTTATGTCTCAATTGAATGCTTATCAAGAAACATGAAATAAGTAAGTTTAACAAATGCTTATTTGAGAAACTTCTATATGATCTATAATAATAAAAACTTAATATGCTATTTAGACTGGATAGCCAAATGATCTTCCGGACGACCTTTCTGACGAACTTCTGGACGAAGTCGGGGTTGTGAGGACCAAGTCACTTGCACAAATTTTGTGCATTGGTCTCTAGTGTTTTAATAAAGGTTTTTAATAGATTTTTCTGAACTTAGTTTTAAAATTAGTTAACCTGGATTGCTTTTATTATAGTATTTAAAATATGCATAAAACAAAAAGAACAAATAAAGCTAACACAGAATAAAAGAATGAAACACCCGAATCTAAAAAAAAGGTAGTTCAATCTTAGTATCTATGTTTTATTAATCTTCTGTTTTATTAAAAAATAGATTTTAGGTTAAAAAAAATAAACATTATTGTCCTAGCCTGTTTGTCTCAGTGGATAGAGCATGTGCCTGTAGACAGTAGCGTCCCAGGTTCGATTCTGGTCAAGGGCATGCACCTTGGTTGCAAGCTCCTATAACTGACCTAGGCCCTGGTTGGGGCATGGGCAGGAGGCAACCAGTCAGTGTGTTTCTCTCACATTGATATTTCTCTCTGTGTTTCCCTCTCTCTTCCACTCTCTTTAAATATCAATGGAAAAAATATCTTTGGGTGAGGGTTAAAAAAATAATAATAAGATAAACATCATTCAGTGGGATTAAAAATAAAACTAATCATGGTGAAGAAAAAAATGAGAGCAGAAAGTAGGTGAGACCAGTGAGTCTCCATATTCAGAAATGTGTGCCCAAGGTCTTGTACTATTATCAACAGAAAATTGAGACCTGAGTTTCTTAGTAGCCAAAACATAAAAGGAACCAGTTAGAGCAGTTCCCCCCAAACTGTGTTCCTCAAAAACTAGGTTACCATAGTCACATAAACTTGGAGATGAGTGATAATGTGTTGAAGGTTGTTAAAGGTTCTTGGAAGTTCTGTGGATAAAATCAGTTGTAAGTTGCGTTCCTCGTGTACATTTGGCCACCCACACCCTCCCTTTTTTAAGAAATTTGGTACATGTCAGCATTTCTCACTCTTTGAGATACAACAACCAGTGAGCTATTGTTCTTTAGCTAAGAACAGGCTATTTTACTGAAGTGAAGGCCAGCAGGTTGAGACGTGCAAGCTTTCCCCTTTGGGTGCCTTGAAGGGATAGTGTATACTAATATATAGTGCAGTGCGCCTCATCCGGAATAAGTAGCCTCAGTATATACAATCATGAGTTTCAGATGGCTGTTTTCATATGGTTTCTTCTTAGTATGTGCTAAAAGCATAAAAATGTGAATTAAGTTTTTAAATTGGTTAGAAATTATCTCAAAAAGTATCAAGACTCATTTTTAATTTTCCAGGTCATGGATTGTGTTCTCTGTTGCTAGTGAAAAATCTTTACCATCTTTGTTCTATTATTTATATTGCCTCTTGTGCTAAAAAGGAATTGAAGGGCAAAAGCTGGAGACGAGCAGAAAACGTGCAGCAGAATGCTTAATTGGCTATTGTGTGTGGGTGAGGTGGCGCAACCCCTGACATTATAGACAGAAGCTGTGAAGCACATCCACAGATAATACAGGCTCTCCGTGGCTCCTCAGAAATGATTGTGGCAGAGGGACCATGAGGGCATTATTTTTGAGCAGAGGAGCTGGGAAGAGCACGGGTCTAAATGAGTCACAAACAGAAAGCAGCACCACGGAGAGCAGCCCTGGCCGCTAACAAAGGGAAGTTCACACTGTGGAAAGGGAACACATAATAACAGATCAATGTTCCCCCAGCTTTTGCCTGCTCACATAGAGCAGTCATTTTAGTAAGGCCACCTTCACATGTGAACAGCAGATTTTCCAATACATCTTTCCCACCCTTAATCAAGGCTTAAATGTGTGTGTGTGTTTGTGTTTTGATGACTGATGTGGGTGTGTAATGTAAAGGACCGTATTTTTAGCACAACCAAATATTTTGGATGGTTTTTCAGGAGTCATGATGGCATAATTAGTTGTGGTATACCTTATGGGGGATAGGATTCGTTTTACTCTGGATTTAATCTAAATGTAATTAAGGTTTATTCTTCTTTTCAGGCAAGAGTGCAGCACTGCGTCTGCTCTGTAGCCAGTGACCACTCAGTAGGACTCCTGAGTCTGCGAGAGAAAAAATGCATTATGTTGGCATCTCGTCATCTTTTCCCCATCCAAGTGATTAAGTGGAGGCCTTCCGATGATTACCTAGTAGTGGGATGTTCAGATGGCTCTGTGTACGTCTGGCAGATGGATACTGGTAAGAAAAAGTGTTAAGAGATAGACTCCAGCCCTAGCCGGTTTGATTCAGTGGATAGACTGTCGGCCTGCGAACTGACAGGTCCTGGGTTCAGTTCTAGTCAGGGCACATGCCCAGGTTGTGGGCTCAATTCCCAGTAGGGGGTGTGCAGGAGGCAGCCGGTCAGTGATTCTCTCTCATCATTGATGTTTCTATCTCCCTCTCCCTTCTGGATATGTTATTTTTATAACCAGTTTAGTATTATTAACCCATTTTAGTGTAAACCATATGTAATACTGAATTCACAATTCTGATCTTCAGGAGGATTTTTGGTAAACTACTAGTCAACATGGCAGTCTTTAATTGAGATAAATATGAAGAAGCAGAATTTATTTTGGATATAAACCATAATAGGAAATATACATTATTTCTCCCCTCCTTGCTGTTCAGGCTTTAACTAGTGATGTAAGGGTGTCTGGGGAGTTAGTTAAGCACATCCTGAAGGTATTGACATTATTTATTTATTAAATTTATTTATTTATTAACTAAATAAATAATGAAGCTAAATAAGTCAGTTTCAGTCAAAGTTTGATATATGAAATGTATTTAAACTTTGAGGATATACTTTATCCCTCTTAGTGTTCTGGGAATGTATTTTTACAAATGAAGCCATATTATACTAAAACTATACATGCATATTATATAACTTTCTGTTTGCTATTGAATTGCTTTATTGGAAGGAGTTTGCACACTAACTTAGGTAAGAAATGTATAGAGGGAGTTAAATGGAAAGTATAGTCCAATAAGAAGCATTGAAGTGGCATTAAGCTGAAGTAGTACTGAAAGACATTCCATTGGGTGTTAAGAATAAGAGTCAAGAAATTTGCAGATAGAATGAAAAGTTATAATCCTAACCCCTACCCCCACCAGGCCTCCCATTTTGTGGAGATTTCCTAGAGAAAGAAAAGCTTCAGGAATTGTTCAAGTAGAATAAACTGGAAAAATAGCAAACTTGTTTTTTGTTTGTTTAAGATTGATATACAACTTAGAGGAAGGTGAAGTCATGGGCTTTGATGTTTGTAGTAGAGTAATGGTGTGGATTGATCCAGGAGACCCATCTTGGAAGTGTAGAGAAAGTGGAAAAGCCACTTTCTTTTGGGGGAGGTTGTTAAAATCTTGGCTCTGAACTTGTCTTTGTTGGAAAGTTGTGGTAGTGGCCTGATGAGCAGGGGCACAAAGGTAATGCTATATGGGAGATCCTTAGAGGAAGGAAATACAAGAAAATCTTTCTGGGAGGCACTGTTAAAACATATTTCTACATAAAAAGTCCCTGCCTTTTTTTTTTTTTTGTCTTAAACTATTTAAAGCTGTACGGTGTGTGTAATAAGTGTGCTTGCGTGTCTTGCAGGTGCATTGGATCGTTGTGTGATGGGGATAACAGCCGTAGAGATACTGAATGCTTGTGATGAAGCGGTTCCTGCCGCAGTTGATTCGCTTAGTCATCCGGCAGTCAACCTGAAACAAGCCGTGACAAGACGGAGCCTTGCTGCTCTGAAAAATATGGCCCATCATAAGCTACAGACCCTTGCAACTAATCTCTTGGCTTCTGAGGCCTCTGACAAAGTAAGTTTTGTATGTGCTCTCGTGTGTTTGTCTCCTTTAATTTCATTTAGTAACACAGCTTTGGCATGACTTAGGGAATAATTTTGGGAGACAAACTGGTGAAAAAATAATATTCTGGTTGTAATTTAGGTTTAGCCAAGATAGTTTTAGAGTATTATGAATATTTGGAATTTTGAAAAGTAAATTATGCTTATCATTAAAAATATTTTAACATGGTTGCTACTGAATTCAGTGATTTTAATTCCTGTATTTAGAGGATTTTAAAAAATATATATTTTTATTGATTTCAGAGAGGAAGAAAGAGGGAGAGAGAGATATAGAAGCTTCCATGATGAGAGAAAATCATGGGTTGGCTGCCTCCTGCAAGTCCCGCACTGGGGATCGAGCCCATAACCTGGGCATGTGCCCCAGACCAGAATCAAACCCAGGATCCTTCAGTTTGCATGCTGATACTCTATCCACTGAGCCAAACTGGCCAGGGCTAGAAGAAATGTTGTATATATAATATATCTACTTGACTTTCTGACAACAGTTTTCCTTTTGAAGGATTGAGCATTAGCTAGTATCTCTAGGAGAAAACATAATAATTTAGGTACACAATTAAGATGTCTGTAATTGCAGCTTATCACCGTGTTTTAAAAGTAGGTTTTGATTTTAGGCCATTATTTCTAAGGGATACCAACAAGAAAAAGTTGGGCCATTACTTCTAAGGGACACCAACAAAAAAAAGGACTGAAGAAAATACTTGACACTACGTACAGTGGACTTGGACAAGTGATGGCATTTTAATGTCAGATCCTAGCTCAGTCACACGTTCCTTGCTGACACAATCAAAGCATCTGTTTCTTTTTCAGTTAAAAGAAAATTACCCTACTAAAGAAGAAACTATCCCAGTTAATGAATTGGTTACTTAGCTTTAGTTTTGTAGGGGCTAGCCACTATTCGGTGTGTGGTATTTGTGTTCTGTGGTATTATTAGAACTAGTTTGTCTCTGGTAATGGATAAATTAAACTTAGAGACAATCCCAATATTTCATCTGCGTCATGAGTCACAACTTAAAATTTAATCTTTTAAAATATATATATATCTTTAGTGGGTTTCAGAGAGAAAGGGAGAGGGGGAAAGAAATAGGAACATTAATGATAAGAGATAATCATTGATAGGCTGCCTCTTGTCCACCCCACACTGGGGATCGAGCCTGCAACCCAGGCATATGCCCTGACTGGGAATTGAACTGTGACCTTCTGGTTCATAGGTTGACGCTCAACCACTGAGCCATGCCAGCCAGGCTACTGCATAAAATTCTAATTCTATCTAAGTTTTCATTAGAATTATTAATGAATAACTAATAATTATTCACAAACACTGCTATTTTTATTTTCTCTTATTCCTGATTTTCCTTTTTTTGTTTTTTTAAGGATTGGCATATGAATAAATAGTGAAGACATTGAAATGCTGACCTGTAAAGTTGAAAATTTGCCCATGAATTAGTGCTAATGACATATGAAATATATAGGCAGATCCAGTGACCCAGATCCACCAGTAATTGGCAGTAATATTTGGTCATTCTGGTTTTTTACAGATATAAATGCTTTGTTGGCTTTATTATATTGTATATTTCATAGATTAGAATTATGAAATCCTTCTGTGTTTATTTTCATGTCTTCAGTCCCATGTTCTAAGTATGAATAGAAATCATAGTCTAAGTACATTTGCCCTGCCTATAAGTTTTTTCAATGAACCATGTAAATGTCCCTAGGAATTCAGTGTTCATAGCACATTAATGTTCTATATCATTTTAATTTTGAGAAAATTTACAAAACAATATATTCAAGGGCAAGCATATATATGTAATTTCTAAATATATTATTTTTCTTGTTGGTATCCCTTAGAAGTAAAATTTGGAAAAATAACTACACATCTGGAAAATTAAAGAAATAGAAATGATATGGTAACATTTATGAATGGCTTTTGTAAGTGGTCATGGTCCATTATGTGATTTTTACAATCTTGTTTGTCCCTGTTTTAATAGCGCATTTTATAGTGCAATTAGTGATAAAAGCACCAGATATCAGAGACACTATACTTATGTATTGTAAAATATATTGCTTGTGAACCTCCTTAGTCTTGTAGCAATGGTAATTGTTTCCTGGCCTACAAGGAAAACAATTATAGGAGGGGGAAAGGCTTAGGAAGCTGAGGCTGCAGGAAGATAATCACTTTATGAAAAATGTATGTTGGCTGGACCATTAGGGATTTCTCTAACTATTTTCTCATGCTGAATTTGAGGCCCCTTCAGAGGTTATTTCTAACCATAGGAGAAATAAAATCCACCCAAACTGAAAAAACCAAACAACTAAGTTCTTAATGCAGGACTTTCTCTCTGATATGGGAACTAACTTTTTCATGGGTCCCTCCACAGAAAGTCAAATCTCTGCAGGGATATCCTATAGAAGGATCCTGCTCTGTCCTTGGTAGGTTATTGTTAGCAATTGGGCTATTTGAAAGTAAAGATATTTTATATTGCTAATTATGTTTACTATGGCTTTGCAAACAAAAATGGAGAATTCATTGTCCTATGACTTTTTTCTTTCACTGGAAGATCAGGAAGATACTAAGTAGAATTATCCTTTCTTCCTATATTGAATCTTTGCAAGGTGTGTATATTTGAATCCCAGTGTGTTTCTCTTAGGACATGTGTGTTACTTTCCCTTTTATTATAATAACTTATGGACTTACCCAATTCTTCCCACTGAAATACAACCTCCTTGCAGGCACAGATTGTGATGTATTTATTTCTGTGTTTTCCTTAGAACACCAGGTAGCAGCTGTGTAGTGAACATGCGTTGAATCGGATGATGTATGACAGGAAGTGTTGCTAGCTTCTGCTTCAGCCTCTTTTGCCCCATCTTCTCCATTCCCTCACAGTGGATTGTCTTGACTTGACAATCAAATCTGTCTCTGTTCACGAGCAGATGTGGATCGTTTGTTAATAACTTTGCCCTCTGTTCGGTTTTGCTTTCTCCTCTTTTTTTTTTTTTTTTGAGTAAGGTTGTCCAGGCATAGCTCATTTTCCATCTTTGTCATCACTGTATTGTCAGTATTCCAACTGGAGTTATGTCAACTGTATCCCCTCTTTAACTCCTGTTCCTTGTGGCTCTAGACCAGGGTTGCTTAACCTCAGAACTGCATTGACATATTGGCATTTTGCATTTTTGATGGGATCATCCTCCTCCTCCTTCTTCTCCTCCCTCTCCTCCTCCTCTTCCTCCTCCTTCTTCTTTCTCTCCCTCCCCCTCCCCCTCCTCTCTCTCTCCCCCTCCTTCTCCTCCTCCTCCTCCTCCTCCTCCTCCTTCTCCTCTTCCTCCTCTTCTTCCTCCTCCTCCTCCTCCTCCTTCTCCTCCTGCAGGGGGTGTTGTCCTGTGTAAGGCAGAATGTCTTCTGACCACTGTTTGACAATAATATCCCTTCTCCCCAGTGTGACAATCAGAATTTTTTTCTTACGTTGCCCTGGAGGGCAAAATTGTCTCTAGTTTAAAATCACTGCTTTGGGGAGAATCCAAGATGGCTGCATAGGTAAACACCTAACTGCAGCCTCACACAACAATTTCAATAAAATACAACTAAAATATAAAATGAACATTACCCAGAACTACAGGAAAGTCGACTGACTAGAAATTCTACAACGAGAAGGAAAGAGAAAACCAGAAGGAAAATCAGAGGAGCTGTAAAAGCCTAAGGTACGGAGACATGTTGCGCATGTGGAGAGGATGGAGCTGGAGAGGAGGAGCAGCTGAGTGCCTGGCTGTGTTCCCTAGTGGGAAGGAGATAAAAGCTCCGGACTGTATTGAACCCCAGTTCTGACTGCTCTGAACCCCAGTTCTAGGCCAGACCCCAGGGACCCAGGCTCATTCAGAGGGAGCTGGGCTGTAAGGCGGAATCCCGGGGGAGCGGCAAAAGGCAGAGCCCCTGGAGGCGCGCACACTGTATGCAGAGAAGGGATGGTTGGCTGTGCCATGGGATTGCCCTGGCGGGAAGGAGACAAAAGCTCCAGACTGCTCAGAATGCCACCTCCAACTCCACTTCCAACTGAACTGAACCCCAGTTCTGGGCTCGTTGGGGGAGAGCCTAGACTGTTTGGTAGCAGGTGAAAATCAAGGGCACCTTTCTCTCAGAGGTGCTTGCAGCGAGTACTGAATGACCCTGAGGAACACTGAGACTCAGGAGCCTCATAGGGCGGGGCTGATGGAAGCCAAGGCTGTAGGCACCACCCTGAAACTCCGCCCCAACCAGGCAGAACACAGAGACTTTTAAGGCTACCAACTCAGGGAAGCGGCAAAAATGCTGAGACAAGGAAACAAATCACAAACGAAAGAAATGGAGGACAAAAGCGACTGGATATAGAGTTCAAATCTACACTTATAAGGTTTTTCAAGAATTTTCTAGAAAAGGTTGATAAGACTTATGAGGATATGAAAAGGGATCAATTAGAATTAATAACGAATCAACAAGAAATAATAAAGGATCAACAAGAAATAAAGAATACATTGTCTGAAATAAAAAAATATTATACAGAGTCCTAAAAACAGAATGGAAGATCACAAGAATCAAGTCAAAGATTTGGAACATAAAGAGCCAGAAGACACTCCTCCACAGAAGCAAGAAGGCAACAGAATCCAGAAAGTTGAAGATACTATAAGAAACCTCTTGGACAACTTCAAGCGAACCAACATCAGAATTATGAGGGTTCCAGAAGTTGAGAGAGAGCAAGATATCGAAAACACACTGAAAGAAATAATGACAGAAAACTTTCCCCACCTGGTGAAAGAATTAGATTTACAAGTCCAGGAAGCAAACAGAACTCCAAACAAAAGGAATCCAAAGAGGACCACACAAAGACAAATCATAATTAAAATTCCAAGAGCAAAAGACAAAGAGAGAATATTAAAAGCAGCAAGAGCAAAGCAGGTAATTACCTATAAAGGAGCACCCATATGATT